GGAAGGAAGGAAGGAAGGAAGGAAGGAAGGAAGGAAGGAAGGAAGGAGAAAATTTAAAAAAGAAAAATAAGGAAGGGAGGGAGGAAGGGAGAAAGGAAGGAGAGAATTTTAAAAAGAAAAAAGTAAGGAGGGAGGGTGGAAAGGAGGAAAAGAAGGAAGGAAGGAGAGAATTTTAAAAAGAATTAGGGAGGAAGGGAGAAAGGAAGAAAGAAAGGGAATTTTAAAAAGGAAAGAAGGAGGGAGGGAGGAAGGAAGGAGAGAATTTAAAAAAGAAAAAAATTAAGGAGGGGGGAGAGAATTTAAAAAAAGAAAAATTAGGGAGGGAGGGAGAAAGAAAAGGAGATAATTTTAAAAAGGAAATATTAAGAGAGGGAGGGAGGAGAGAATTTAAAAAAGAGGGAGGGAGGGGAGAGAGGGAAGGAAGGAAGGAAGGAAGGTTTTTCTAATTAATGTTTAATAAAAAGAAAAAAGCCAAAATGGGAAGGAAACCCATCTTCCAAACAAATAAATTCTGCCTGATAAAAGGGAGAAACAAGTCTCACCCAGTGAAGACAAACAAACAAGGATTAAGCCTGGCAGGGCAAGGGGCTTCCTTGCCAAGATTTCAAGTTTCCCTGGTTCGATAACAATAAACCAGCATTTCCTGACAGGATCTATTTGGAAGGGCTGCAAAAATTCTCCCAAATTTCTCTCTTTAACGTGTGGCCTAAACGGGCCTTCCGATGAACGGCACAATCTTAGACAGACGGAAACCCAAGGAATACGGCCTCACGCGCCTCGCTCGGCTCCCAGCAGCCCGCGGGAAGGTCTTATTCAGACATTTCCATGGCAATTGCTGAATTTTGAAGACGTTCATCTGACTTCTCACTAAGCCAATTGTCCTCTGGAAGCGGGCAGGAGGGCAGGAAGTAACCCGAGGTCTACGATTTATGCAGATTTATGTGTGCATAATTTTGCCTTGCCTTCCTGAAATGCATAGATATCCCCTTGGTTTATAAGGCAGCATTCCTCTCAACCGTGTGTCCTCGGACTTATGACCAGCGGTGGGATTTAACTGGTTCGTACCACTTCGGCCGAACCAGTTGTTAAATTGCTGTCTGGCCCTTCCCCTCCCCTCCCTTCCCCTTCCAGAAGTCCCCTCACACCCCATTTTGGCTCCCAGGTAAGCGCGGGGAGGCCTACTAGGCCAAAACAGGGTGCGGGGTTTGTGTGTGGTGCTGCTCCCCACCCCCAGGGCCCATTTTTGCGCCCAGGGGACTGCAGGAAGGCTCACTAGGCCCAAAAACGGGGCGTGGTGGGTGAGGCATCGCCCCCCCCCCGCACGACCCATTTTTGCTCCCCGGGGAGTGCAGGCCGAGCGCTGCCTGTCACACCCCTGGCCACACCCACCATGGCCACGCCCACCCACCCAGTCATTACGAGAGAACCGGTTGTTAAATTATTTGAATCCCATCACTGCTTATGATCACACTTAAGGCTCAAATCTGAATGTAAATCGCATGACCACAGGGTTGCTGCAACAGGCATTCAGTGTGAAAAACGGTCATAAGTCACTTTTTTCAGTGCTGTCGTCACTTTGGATGGTCAGTAAGCGAACTGCTATAATTCTCACCACTGAATTGCATCATGCTGGATTCCCGGTCTCATTCATTCATTCATTCATTCACTCATGTATGTATGTATGTATGTATGTATGTATGTATGTATGTATGTATGTATAGCATTCAGCTTTGTTCAGGTATTTTCCCATGTCATTGTAGTTGTGCTTTTAAAGTTGTAGCAACGTTTCAGCAACTTTAAAAGCACAACTACAATGATGTGGGAAAATACCCGAACAAAGCTGAATGCCATACGTGTAAGTACCCGTGAAAACTTAAGAAAACATATATATAAAGCATTCAGCTTTGTTCGGGTATTTTCTATCACACACACACATATAATTTATACATTTTTCTTTAACATGCATAAGTGCTTAGTAAACAGTGTATTGTCTGGGTCAATTTACTTATACATAATAATACTGAAATAATGTTAAGATTTTAATGATTATTAATGATAGAACTGAACTGGAATGGAATGAGGGTTTATAATTACATATATTTACAAACTTTCTTTTTTTAAAAAAAAGAATATAGTGTATATTATAAGAATGTGCCAAGCACAATTCGATTGGAAGTTATGTATTATGTATTATATTGAAGGTCATAAACTTAAGGAATATATTGAAGTTTAAATAAGTTGAATGGATGTAATTAAAAGATATAAAGGTGTCATACTCCAATTAGTAACTACAGGAGAAAATTTGTTTAATGAGAAAAGATAATATGAAATTGAAACAGAACAGACAAAAATATAAATATAATGATTTGAATTGAGATGAGATAATCAAAATAAAATTGAGAAAATTAAAAGAGGGGAAAAACTATATAGAAAATGTAAAATAGTATAAGATATGGAACAGAATACAAAAAGGAGCATGAAATTGAGTTTTGCGTCTGTATAAAGAAGTTCAACCCGGGACCATGCTATTTTCAAAAAAGATGTTTTACTTGTATTTTGTGTGTGAAAACCCAAATAAAACTTTATTAAAAAAATACTAAAATAATATTAATTACTTATACATAGCAATAATCTTTCAACTTCTAATTTCCACTTCTATTATCTAACCATTAATAGAACAAGTCCCATGTTGAAAGATATTCTGTATATTCTTTATCCTTTATCTTTAATGTTAACCTATCTATTTCTATCTAGTATTTTTAAAATTTATTTTTTAATCTGTAGGAGTTTCCTCATTGTTGAAGCATTTGTACAAATACAATTCTCGCTGCGGTCAAGAAATGTAGTATTAAATATATGTTCCCTCTGTCATATTTTTCTGGCAATATACCTAGTAAAAGTATTTGTGGCTTTAAATATATGTTGCTTTATCATTTTCTCTAACCATGTGTGTATTTTGTCCACTTTTTTTTTTGTCTTTGGGTTCCCAGCCTCTTGTAGGGAAGAGCATCAAGATGGTGTGATATTGATTTTACTTCTCACCCTTTCCTCTTTCCTTGGGCTCAGTGGCCATTTCCCTTCTTTTAATGGTTCTGGCATCCCTTCCTCAACCTTGTTTGACCCAGTTTGGAAAAAGGGAAGCCAACTTACCTATACAGCAGGCAGACCCCCATTCCGGCCGACATCACCCCTTGCAGAACCCGCCAACTGCCGCAGACCCATGCCAGACCCAGGAGGAGGAACCGTCCCCCCACCTGGATGAGGTCTCCTGCCATGGCTACCGGTAGCCGTTGCGAAGGACAACACAGCTCCAAACCTAGGGAAGGACAGAAGGCAGGCAGGGCATTGTAACTTAAAGAGGCAGAATACAGGGACAAGTCCTCACCTTACAACCAGAATGGAGCACAAAATTTATACATATTTACGTTTTTATATATTACAACGTATGTGGGTGTGTACCTAAAGTTGTATTTATTTATTTTGTCATGTTCACATAATGTATATTGGAGGTAGTGATCCTTTGAGAGTTGCATGCAATGAAATTTCTTTTTAATTTATGCCGATTAGTGTACATTCAAAGTGGCAATAAAGTTGTTATTCTATTCTATTCCTATTCCATTCTATTCCATATTCTATTCTATTTCCATATTCTATTTCTATATTCTATTCTATTATTTCTATACTATTATTTCTATATTCTATTCTATATATTATTCTATTCTATTTCTACATTTTATTCTATTTCTGCATTCTGTACTATTCTATTCTTCTTTTCTATTCTATTTCTCCTATTCTATTCTATATTCCATTCCATTCCATATTTTCTATTCTATTCTATTCTATTCTAT